ATCATAATCAACAGCATCAGCACCATTACCAGCATCATCATCGCCCAACATCATCACTATCATCAAACATCAACATCACAATCATCATCAGCAGCAGCATCAGCATCAGCATCAGCATCATCAGCATCAGCATCATCATCAGCTCCCTCCGAATCCTGACTGGCGGAGGCGCAGGATCAAGCCCGCTGTGCCGAAAGCACGTCCACTAGGCAGGCGGATGCTGAAGCCTGGTAACGCTGGATGGCGTCCTCGCCCGGGCCAACGCCTCGGACACCCCCGAGCGTGAGGGCGCCGGCGGCGGACGGCACCCACGACCGCGCTGATCGCGGACAGCCAGTCGGGCCCGTAAACGGGGGCACGCGCCCATCTCGTCGAATAGGCGACCGTGGTTGCGCAGGAGCGTCGACCAGATGCAAGGACGGGTGGAGGAGGCTGCAAGCAGACCCTGCGGCCGCGAAGCGCCGCAAGCACCATCCCGACCATGGTCAGATTTCCCGGTGAGCCGCGACGAGGCGGACCTCAGTCAACGATTCCCCCGCCACGTCGAGGACCCACCCGAGCGCGTCCTGGGTGCCTGCAGGGAAAGGCGGCCCAGGAGCCAGGGCGCGGACGCCCCTCTGGGCGCGAGTGCGGGGGATTCTGGGGTGGCGGTCTGGGGGGCCGAAAGCGCGGAGAGCAGTGAGGGTGGGGGTGAAAAGGAGGGCCTGGTAGATCGAGGGAGAGAGCGGGAGAGAGAGGGGGGGAGGGAGGGAGGGTCGGATAGAGAGAGAGAGAGAGAGACAGAAAGAAAGAGAGAGAGAGAGAGAGAAAGACAGAGAGCCAGAGAGAGAGAGAGAGAGAGTGAGAGAGAGAGAGGGAGAGAACAAGGCGCGGGAGCGGTGCGGTAGGGGGGAGGGGAGAGAAAGGGCGAGAGGCCAGAACGCCCCCCTTACCGCCCGCGGCGCCGCCTTGGGGGGGGGGGAGCAGAAAAACAAAACAAATCGGCCAGACTCCCTCCGTGGCATTTCTTTGTTTAAGTTTGTTTTGCTTGCCCCCCCCACACAAGAAACACTCCCCAACTACCCCCGCCCCTCTGCCCCCTCCCCCCCGGCCACCTCCCCTCTTTGCCTGTCCCTTGCGCTTTGTTTCGTTAGTGGACGGCTGCGCTCTTGTGGTGGCCATGACGGCGTCTGTTTCAGACTGGTGGCTCCTGTGGAAGACCCCCGGTACGATGCTCGTATATTTTGGGGATGCTCCACTGCTAATGAGATGCTCCAATGCTAGTGGGCAATGCATTGCTTGGCATTGGTTGGTCTTGCTTGGAACTGCTTGCCATCGAGTGTTCCTGCTTGGCCTTGGTTGGTTGTGCTTGGCGTTGCTGGGTTGTGTTTGGCATTGAATGGTCGTGCTCGGCTTTGCTTCGCATTGGTTACTCCTGCTTGGCATTGCTCAGTATTGCGCGGTTGCGCGTGGCATTGAATGGTCGACCTTAGCATTGATTGACATTGCTTGGTCGTGTGCGGCATTGAGCAATCGTGCCTGGCATTGGTTGGTGATGCTTGGCATTGCTTGGTCGTGCCTGGCAAAGAATGGTCGTGCTTGGCATTGCTCGACATTGGCTGGTCATGTTTGGTGGTGCTTGGCAATGTGTGGTCCTGCGCTTGCCTATTGCCTGGCATTGGTAGGAAACTCTTGCCATTGCCTCGCATCGTCAGGTAATGCTTGACATTCAATAATTCTTACGAGGGAACCATTACTAAGGAACCCTGGTTGAAGAACCATCACGGAGGACTCCTGACTGAGGAAGACTTACTAAGGAACCTTTACAAATGTGTTTCTCTTTTTATTACAAAAAACAAATAGATTGTGTCAACAATCATTTCGAATAAATCCTTGGTGAGGAGCCTTCACGGAGAAATCCGTCCCACAAATCGTTACTAAGGAACCCTTGGTAAGGAAACTAGTCAAAGAAGTCATTCGTAATGTCTTTTATTGCGGCATCAATTATCAGTAATCGTGACAAGAATTCTTCGAGCGGAATCTTTACCGAGGAGCTCTTAGCACGGAATATTTACGAAGGACTCTCTAGGCAGGAATATGTATAAGGAGTCTCTAGTAAGGCATATTCACGAACGCATATGTGCAGCATAATGCTTGGTAAGGACTGTACTAGGGAATCGTTCGCCCACAGCATTGCCATTACGGCATATACCAAGGAATATTCCTCAAGGATGCTTTACCAAGGAATATGTATTAAGGAACCCTCATTCAGGAATACTTGGTAAGGCTTCCTTACGAAGATAGCTTACCAAAAACTACTCATTCAGGAATCCGTGGCAAGGAAACTGTGCCAACGAATGCATACCATGGAATCCTTACGATGGTCCTGTACGGAATGTGAATTATGCAACCCTTGATCAGGTATGTATATCAAGAGCCTTTACCGATGAACCCTTCTTACTAATGAATATGTATCAAAAAAAGGGCCCCTGACGAAAGAAATCCTTACTAACAAATCCTCACTCAAGAATCCCCACTGGCGCATCATTGATACGGAATCCCTATAAAAAAACATGTACGAAGAAATCCGTTTCAAGGAATATGTATGCAGGAATCCTTCGTAAGGAACCCGTAGTAAGGAATTTGTAAGACAAAATCAGTCGCAAGGAGATCGTCATTAATGTAACATTCCAAAAATAATTTCAAATAGTGAACCTTGATTAAGGAATCTTTATTCAATACTCTGCATTAAATCACTGCTACGGAAGAGTATTAACAGGCATTTGCGAAGGAATCTGTATTACTGATCTTTTACTAAGGAATGTGTACTAAGGAATCCTTCCGAAAAAATCTCTCTTAAGGAATGTGTTTCAAGGAGTCCTTGGAAACGGAGGACGCCGCGCGCAGGTCCTGCCGACCTCCTCTGCAATCCCAGCGAGGCTCCAATCGCTATCAGGATGCTGCCAAAAAACCGCTCGGCGCCGGGCGAGAACGCCATGTTTGAAAACCATGTGCGCGGCGCCGAAGCGAGAACGCCATGTTTGAAACAAGTGCACACGGCGCCGAGGTGAGACCGCAACGTACCGCCGTGGCACAGGCCCCAGACCGCCACCCCAGAATCCCTCGCCCTCCTGGGCGCAGAGAGCCGCGTCTGCCCGGGAGGCACCAACCAACCCTGGGGCACCAGCTAGAACGAGCCCCAACAGAAAACAGAGAACATGAGCCAAAGAACCCAGAAGGTACCGATACCCCTACTTCCAGGACCCCTTCCGGGGTGCGTCCTGGCCAAGGTTTCGAGGCGAATCCAGCGGTGGCGTCGAAAGCCTCCCAGGAGACCCAAGAGCATGAGGGCGGGCGAAGGGTGGAGATGTGGGTACCTGCTCCTCCTCCGACAAACCTCAACTTTCGGAGGTCCGAGATCTTGTCTTCGTGCCGCTTCTTGTTCGACGCCAGCCGTGCAGCTTCGACGGGGGGGGCACCAGCCACAGAACTCCGACCGTGGGGCACCGGCCACAGGGGCACCAGCCGCAGGGCACGAGAGCCACCGTGCGCCACAGGGCACCAACCCTTCCTCGGGGGCACCCGCACCCGCAGGGCCCACGGCTGCGAGCAGGGGGGCGGTCCCCTGAAGCGCAGCCGAGAGGCCCCGAAGTGCAAGCACGGCTTGGGCTATGTCGTTCCTGTCGCACTCGGGGGCCACAGCTCGGAAGCGATCTCGAGCACACCGGAAAGGATCAAAGTGATGTCGAACGAGTAGCGCCTCCCAGGGCCTGACACGTGAGAACCCTCCAGCTTCGACACGTTCTTGGTGCTCGAAAGTATTTCTTGGTGCTTTCTGGTGGAACATCAGAAGGCTTGGGAACAAGGTCGTGCCAAGTGCGGTGCGGACGTGGCCGCAAGGAACTCTCGCAGGAAGCCTGGCCCTGAGAGCCCGCGCGCTGGATGCACGCGTGGGGGAACCCGGAGCACCCTGAACGCAGCAGCTTCTTGAACGGCCGATGGAAGTCACCGCGCAGCGCGCGGAGCTAAGAAACCCATGCGCCTAAATCCGCCACCATGCCCTATGCCCTCGGCACGCTGCGGCTGCCTCGAGTGCCTGTCGGCTGTGTGGTACGGCTTCAGCAGTTTTCAAAGAGCCCCTCTCCCCACGCGCCTTTTCGAACTCCACCCGATGGTTGTCCTCTCTGGTGATCTTTGCGGCGCTGAGGAGGGACAACTGGAGCTTCCGACTGCAGCATATGCTCCAAGACCAGCCCACGGCGGCTCCACTAATCCCAGGATGCCCAAGATGCTTCAAACTCGCCCAGACCTCATTAGGCCGCCAAAAACGGCGCCCAAAGAGCCCATCGGCAAGGCTTTTCGGAGACCAGCAAACAAAGACAAACAATTGTGTGTTTGATTGTGGTCGATTGCTAAGAGGGTTCTGATGATGTAAACATTAAATCAAGATTCGGGCCAGCCAAGGGTCATATCACCGTATCCACATCCTCGGGTCTGGCCGCCCTCCCCTGGAGATGTCAGAGGGTCTGTTTTGGGTTTCAAGATGGCCCCAAAATGGCCCCAGATAGTCCCAGGTAGGCTCCGAGATGGCACAAGACGGCCCCCGCGAGTGCCCAACACGCCAAGACGGCCCCAGGCAGCCGCGGAGCCTCCAAGGAATAACCTTGAAAAAGGCCCAAGTCCTCCACCAAACACGACCAGTTTCATCAGCAAGTGTCTTATGCATGTTCGCCCTGCCACTTCTACGTAAGGCACCAGGATGCTCCCCAAATCCGCCTTCACATCCCAGTCCTGCTGTCGCCCCCCTCCGCATCCCACGGGAAGGCCGAGCAGGAGGTCGTCGTCGAAAACCGGATGAAGCATCCCGCTGCTCTCGCAGATGGCGGAGGGAGGATCAGGGAAAGGGCGAAGGAGCATGAGGGGAGAGGAGGACTAAGACGACGCCGCTGACAGCAGCGACGACGACGGCAGCGGCGGCGGACGATGCGGCGCGGTGGTGCAAGCGCCGGCCGGCGGGGCGCCTGCCAGGGCCCGCACAGCCTCGATGCCCGCTGGCGTGGCCTGCTCGCCGAGCTGGCTGGCCACCTTGCAAGCGCAGCGCCGGCGACGCGTCGCGAGGCCGCGCCGGCCGGGCGGCGCCGCGCGAAACCGCCCAGCGCCGCGGCGCACTTGGGGGAGGGAGCCCCGCCGAGGGCGAAGAGGGCGAGGACGCCGAAGAATGACGAAGATGACGAGGAGGGCAAGAAGGGTAATGATACTGTCCTCCTCGTCCCTGCCGTCTTCCTCCTCAAACCCCCTCCTCCTCTCCTCCTCCTCCTCCTCCTCCTCCTCCTCCTCCTCGTCCTCCTCCTCCTCCTCCTCGCGTGTCGCAACCGGCCCGTGCGCATGCCACCCTCTGAACTTATCCGAGACAGCGAGCATGGCGTTGATCATCGCGAGGAGCCAAGAGCTTAACCCGCCTGTCGCCTCCTCCTTCTCATCCTCGTCCTCCTGGCCCTCGTCCTTCTCGTCGCCCTCCGCCTGCCCATCGTCCTCCTCGCCGCCGTCCCGCTCCTCAAAGCATTCCCTTCCCTCCTCCGTTGCTGGTGGGGGCGGGGTGTTCAACCTTTCTCCTGCTCCTCGTCATCGTCGCTCCTCTCCTCATCCCCATCCTCGCTGTCGTCTTCCTCAAATATGGTGGGCCAAGAGAGGGACCATGAGAAGAGCGTGCAGGGGTGGGACCGGGCAGGCAGGACAGAGACGCATGGGGACACTCTCGGCCGAGGTGGTGCTGCGCCGAAGCGGGGGGATGTCATCTCGCGAATTGTGAAAGGCTCACGCGATAGGACGGCAACGTGAAGTAAGTAAGAAAGAAGGGTAAGACTGGACTGGAAACAGGAAGGTCCAGGGAGCGAGCGCGAAGGTGGCCTTCAGGTGCCAACGCTGGTGGATCTGAGCCCTCAGAGAGCATTCCCGTGCCCAAATGTTCATTGCAGGTATGTATCCCCGCGCTGCGCTTTCCTGCGTGTTTCCAGGAGCTCCCACAAGCTACTCGGGGAGTTCCGAGGTCCTGGCGGACTCGAGAGAGGATACCTAGTCCGACGGCGAAAAACGGAGGATGCATTTGAGTGCTAAGTGATGTGCAAGTACGGCCCTCCTCTGGCTGCCGCAGGGGTCGGTAACTTCACAAGAATGCAAGTCTTCTGTACCTTGCGGAAGAACTCTGCAGCGTTCGAAACTGGGCGGGCTCAGATATGCAGAGGCGTGTGTGAAGCGGTGGCCAAAAGCAAATAATCCAGCATCCGATGGAGGAACAGGCGCTGGGACAATGAAATTTCTTGCCACAACCAAACTGCGCGACCATCTGGCACACCCAACCGCAACAACCTGCTCGCGGTGCAGGTCCGCGGTCCGCGCCGGAAGGTCGTGCTGCACTGGCCGCGTATCGTGGGTCCGGCGTGTGTGTTTGTGTGTGCCTAACTCATAAACTGTCGGAGCTCCGCGCAGGCTTCTTAGATCTGCGCTGGAACCCTCTGCCCAGCGCGCGGAGCGCGCCAAGGGCGGCGCTCGCGGTGCCGCCGGGGGGCTTCATTGCAGATCCGAGATATCCGCGCGGAGCTTCAGAAATTTAGGCATGTGCCGTTTTGTTGTTGGCCTTGGAAGAGAATGCAGGCCCCGATGCCGCCACCTAGAATGTCGATTACAATCCGGCAATTTCTCGGCGGCGAGCCCAGGGGGAAGTGGGAGGGGGCAGGCATTCGCAGCAAGCGGCGGGGCTTCTAAGACGCCCTGTGGCCTTCTGAGAAGCCGTCTCTGTCTTCGGAAGGCCAGAGGCCTTCCGATGCCCGATTGACCGGGCCGTGCCCTTGCGCCAGGCTAGTAGGAGGCCTCTTTTGCCTCCCTCTCTGCAGCTGCGCTAGATCACCCCCCTCTTTTGCCTCTCCAGGCCCATCGACGCCCGCGGCCACGACGACGACGACGACGCGGACGACGACGAGGAGGACGACGACGACAAAGACGAGAACGAGGGCGATGATGATGACGACTAAAGCGACGACAACGACGACGACGCCGACGCCGACGCCGGCAACAACGACGACGACGACGGAGATGAGGACGAGCAGGGGAACTACGACGACGACGACGACAACGGCCGCCTCTGAAGGTCTTCAGAGGTCTCCCGAAGCCTCAGGAGATCTCTGGAGGCCTCTGGAACCGTCTGCAGCCGATGCGAGGCTCTCGGACACGACGACGAACGGTAAAGTAGCCTCCAAGCACCACAACATCCTGCGAGCATCACAGTGGCAGTGCCGGAGGCGCACTACAGGGGGAGAGCGTTACGTTACGGGGGGGGGAAGGGAGGGCATAACGCGCGTTACGGCCCAGAGGGTTTAGAAACACGCTCCTCCTCCTCCTCGTCCTACACCTCCTCCTCCTCCTCCTCGTCCTCCTCCTGTCCTTTCAAAATCTCCACCTCACTCCACTCTCTCCTCCTCGTCCACCTTCTTCTCCCCGTACCGTGTACTCCATACTCGAGCCCCCCCTTCCTCCGACTTTTATCAACTCCCCTCGCCCCGCCTCGCCTCACCTCCCCCACCCCATCCACCTCCCCCTTACCGTTCCCCCTCCTCCCCCGACTGGTTGTTACTGCTGCTCGTCCGAAAATTGTGCGGCTCCTTTGGGGTAATAAGTGTGACCACGACCGCGGACGGCTGCGGGCGTTTCCTGCAGCCATGGACCAATGGCTGCATCATGTGGCCGCTATCGCGGACCTGCTGTCAGAAATTGACTGGAACGTATGCGTGAATTACATGCTGTCTACGTACACCTGGCGAATTTACGAATGCCTTTTTTTGAATCGTCTCAATGGCATAGAACGTCCACGCCCACAGAGGCTCTTCCAAACGGAAGGCCAACTCTGCACGCAATCAGTGCAGGATTGGAAACAATCAAATTCAACTCGAGTGATAGGGCGCATGGGACTCGAATAATCAAGCGCAATGGGCGCACCGTACAATTCACGCGAGCCGGGCGACTCGAGTTCAACAATTATTGGGTAGGTGCGCTATATTGATAGGGCGACGAGATCTATGCATATCCACTGCTCCTGGCCAGGCCAATCCTGGGCCCAGGAGCGGTGTATACGCCCTCCTGGCCTGGCCAGGGAGGCATATACACAGCTCCTGGGCCCAGGATGGGCCTGGCCAGGAGCAGTGGATATGTATAGTTATCGTCGCCCTATCTTGAGTCCGCGCCCTACTGGGTGTGCGCATGGCCCCCAGCCATCCGATATGGGGCATGCACGGCACAAGGGGGGGGGGGGGGGAGCGGCCCAGACAGCCGGGGGGAACTCCCCCCACTCCCCTCTCCTGCAGCTCGTCTCGCGCCAGACACTATGGAACGTGACCTCAAAAAACGAGAAGTCCCCCGTCGACTCCATCTCAACTGACGAAGCTGGGGACGACGGCATCATAGAGGATCCCGCACGTGCCGCACACCCACACCTTGCTGGGGCCGTCCCTGCAACCGGAGCCCTCCTGGGGCGAGTTGTCCCAGCCGCAGAAGCTCTCCTCATCGTCCTGCCTCTGCAGGCGGATGGAACCGCCCTCTCCCCAGCCGCGGCCCCAGGAGTTCTTGATCTGCCTAGGAGAAGATATACCGGCACACACATAACATTTCGGAGATCCGCGCTGTCTCTTCGGTCGGCGCTGAACCCGCCTCCCTGGCCCAAGGGCGGCGCACGAGGCGAAGCCAGGGGGGCCCAACGCCGATCCGAGGAATCCGCGCAGAGCCCCGACATCTTGTATCTGCACCGTTTTCTCTTCAGAAGAACAAAAAAAACCATACTCATAAACTGTTGGCGCTCCGCGCGGAGCGAACAATAAATTATGTTTACGGCGCTTTTTCTTCTTCGATTCTTCGACTGCCAATACTTCACGTCGCCGATGCGCGTGTGCGGCTTGACCCCAAAGCCGTAGAGCACGACCGCGTGGTTGACGACGTTGCGGGCGTCGCACCTGGGACGCCCGAGTTATATCCAGAATAACTCCGGCTTGGCCCCGCGACGCACAAACGAGGAGTCACCCCTGGCCGCCCCCCAGCCACTATGATTCGGGAGTGCCTGGGCGCCCGAATTTATCTGGGTGAACTCCAGTCCAAGGACACTCCGGTATGGGCCCGAAAGAGGTACGAATCAGTACCCCCCCTGACCCCCCCCCCAGCCCTGGAGCAGGGGAGCGAAGAATGACATCAACACAACAAGTCGGAGGTCCGCGTGGATCTCTCGGATCGGCGCTGGACCCTCCTCCACGGCGCGCGGAGCGCGCCAGGGGTGGCGCCAGAGGCGCCACCATGGGGGTCCAGCGCGGATCTGAGAACTCCGCGCGGACCTCTGAGTTTTTACGTTTGTTCGCTCCCCTATGGCCCTTCCAGCCCTGGCGATTCGGAGCTCAAGGCACCCGCCGGGGGTCAGGACGCCCTCGGCGTAGGAGAACCACCCGCTGCCGGCCGCGACGGCCACGTACAGGGGGCCCTGCTCCACAAGGGCGCGGACGATGGGCTCCTGAAGGGGCCCGAGGACACACAAACAAATACACACAGATCCCAAGATTTTCCAGATCTTCCCATATTCTCGGGGTTTTCGTCTTCCCCCCACTTCCCACAGTTTCCCGTCCTCTCCTGGGGGTCGACGACTACTTGTCTGTGTCTGTGTGGGTGTTCTCCCCTGCTGAGTTCCTCCTTGTTCTCTGGCAGCTTCGTCCAGCCAGCCATGCCGACCTCAGAGGCCTCCCAAGCTGGCCATCGTTCGGACGTCCATTCCCTGTGTGTTTTCGGTTTCGTGCGTGTTTTTTTTTTTGCTCGATGGTCCAGGATGGTCCTCAATGGCTCTCGCCGATGAAAAAGTGCACACGTCCGAGCGATGCCAGGCTCAGAAGATGGGGTCGGAGGATCGCTCCGCATCGCCGCCGCATCGATGCATCGCCGACGCGCCGGCGATGCAGCGGCGATGCGTCGGCGATGCATCGCCGCCGCCGGCGCGGCGGAGCTCGGGCTCCACGTCCAGCCGCATCGCCGATGCATCTGCGATGCGGCGCGGTCCTTTGGTACCACCTGCTCAAACCCCATCTGGTGGGCTGGAGTTTGGTCGGGCATGTCCTCCTGCAGGCGGATGGGGGGCGAACAATGCAAACGAATCAGAGAATGCCATGAAAAAAAGCACTGGTCGAAACAACGTCCCCAGACGATTTGTTGACTATTCTTGAATATTCGGCGGCGGTGGACAAACCTCCCTCTAGTGAACCACCCTTCAGTGAAAACGGCCTAGGACCGAAACCGACGGACCTGGACCCGCAAAAATGACAGCCGCGACGCCCTCTCGCGAACCGAAAACGGCCAATTCACACATCGACGCGTCAGGGCAGGAGGTCTATCAACCTCCGAGACATCCCCCTGCACAGGGACACGCCCGACGTTAATCGGGAGCGGCCAAGAGGGGGGTGTCCAAGAGGGGGGGGGTGCAAATCATGGCCGGCGGCATGTGCGCGGCCCAGCGGGGGGGCCAGGGACGTAAGGAAACAAGAAGAGGCGCCATGAGATCTGGGGAAATATCATGGCCCGCGCCATGATATCCACCCCCCCTAGTCATCACCCCTCTCTTTTCCGCTCCCGACGTTAAGCCTGCAGAGACCTCGCGGCCGCGCAGGCCCCCCTGGCCGACGCCGGCGCCGGGCAGCATGTGCACCTCGCGGCCGTCGGCCTCCAGGATGCCGTCGGTCGTCGGTCGTCGTCGTCGTCGTCGTCGTCGTTGTCGTCGTCGTCGTCGTCGTCGTCGTCGTCGTCGCCACCATCGTCGTCGTCGTCGTCGTCGCCGTCGTCGTCGTCGTCGTCGCCGTCGGCCTCCACGATGCCGTCGGTGGCCTTCTCGGTGGCGACCTGCGCCTGACCGGGGCACCTCGTCTGCGCGCCGCCCATGGCAAAGAACGCCGCGTCGCCGGCGGCGACGCCCGCGCGCAGCACGTACTCGTAGGCCAGCTCCGCGGTGGCGCCCTGGCAGCCGCCAGTGCCGCCGCACGCGTTCGGGTTTGGCGTGCAAGCGATGACCTGGCTCGCGGAGAACTGCCGGGGCAACCCCTCGGCGGCACGCCCGAGATGGGTACGGGAAAAAGGTAGAACGAGGCCCGACAACAAACGTCGTCCAACACCGACAGCCGCCGCTGCTGTGCAGGCGGCCTTCTGCCTCGCATGGACAAAGCCCGTGGCGGCACCGACAGCGAGCCCCGTTTCAGAACTGACAAGACTTGCTGTCAATCTTCGTCCCCACTCTTTCCGCACTCATTTCGATCGTACCGACCTTGAGTTCCGCATGGGCGCGCATGACCGACGTCGCGGCCACGGCCCAACAGCTGCCGCAATCCGACACCGTGCCCACACGGCAGTGGCGGGTCAGAATGCTTGCTCGTTGTCCGGACGGGGGACTGCAGTTTTCGATGGCCGGCACCCCCTCGGCGCGCGTGGAGTCTGGATCGCCCTCACTGGTTTTGCTCTCCACGCAATTTTTCGATCCAACGACCGCCACATAACGGCTGCACGACGCCGCACGTGAATCGAAAGATGGCTTACGAGCCCGCTCAGGCTCACAGTGACCAGCATGGCTCCGAGGCCCTAAGATTGAGCAGAGACAGACCGTCCTGGCATTCCTGTAGGCCTACCACGAAATTCTATTAGAACCCCAAAATGCTCGAATAACAAAAGCAATGCTCTTAGAACAGAAATCCAATGTGTTAAAACAAGACAGTCCCAGTCAGAACAGTTCTAAGCATGTTTTCGTGGAGACCACAAAAGGTTCTCAGAACATTGTTTGGTAGGCCTATAGGCGAGCTGGGACGCTTCGCCACTGCTTGACAAGAAGCCTCTCTCCAGCGCGGCCCTAATGGGAGAACTTGCACGTCTGTTCGGCCTCAGAACTCCGCGGGACAGCTTCAAAAATCCCCAAGAGATCAGGACAACCACCGCTGCCCCAAGAGAGCCGTCTGACGGCCCCAATACTGCCAAAGAGCCCTCCAGGACGGCCCAAGAGGGCTGGCTCCATTGCCGCCCCGAGACCATACCCTCCCAGACGTCCTCACGGTGGTTGAACCGAGCCTCCTTGGGAGAGCTCGACAGAAGCAACCATCGCGCCCAAGGAGGCCTCAAGAACCCCGACGGACCCCGAGCGGGCCCCAAACAGGCCCCCGCGAGGCCTCACATGTCACCCCAAGAAGCTTCCAATACACCTGGAATAGAGAAGAGAGAGAGGAGTGCACCATGCGAAATGCTTAAGAAACCATGGGTTAAGAAATTCATAGTCTCAGAAATTGAATAAAAACCAAGAACTTCTATCAAAATCTTGGGATTTACATTGAAACGTTAAGAATGATCGAGACTCTGGACCAAAACTTAAGTTTTCTTAAGCATCGCCTAAGGTATGGGGGAGAAGCAGGAAAGACGCCAACAGAGCAGAACGAGGCTGCGTACAAGGAGGCGTTCAAGACCTGCACCCGTGCAGCCGGGGGGTTGAGCTTGAGCGGGTGGCAAACTCAACCCCCGTCCTGCTGCGCTGCTGCGCTGTCGCGAGGGCGGGGCGTGCCGCAGGCAGCTGGCTTCCCCTGGTCCCACGTCTCCTGGATTGACGTCAGATTGGACCACTCGAACTCCCTTGGAAACATGCTCGGCGCAGTGACGCCTTGGCCGGCGACATGGTCCCACACAGATGCGAGCACAGCCCTGTCGACCACGCCGGCGCTCCGGGACCGCCTGGCGCCGCCCCTGTGCCCGAGCAGCACGCGGAGCTCCGTGTCGGTCCAGTCCGAGAGGTGGTTGACGCCGGCCTTCCACAGCTTCTCATCATCGCAGTTGTGCTGCATGCCGGCCTCCGCGCGGCTCCAGTACGCGGCCTCGCGCATCGCGTACTCGTCGCTGCCGGCCTCGTACGTGCGGCCAAACTGCTGCACGAACTCGGAGAACGGAGTGGGCCGGCCGCCGCACTCGTACAGGACGGTCTTCGTGACGGACTGCTGCCTCAGCCCTAGGGCGAAGGCAGTGGAGGAGAGGCCACGGAGAAGGCAGAAGCCCGCAGCCGAGCGCGTGGCCATTTTGTAAAGGTACGGTGAATATGCACTGTGGGCCAGGTTCCTGCTGGCGCTAACCACAGACCCTTGCCCACCTTTTCGTGGCTCAGTATGTCTGAGCCCAACTGCCTGCGCACGAATATTCAAAGTCTCAGTGTTATCTGCGGCCCGACTGCGTATGTATCAGCATGGCCGTGCCCATGTGCCTAATCACCTCCTGGGCGAGGCGTGTTTGCATGAGCCCGACATCTAGCACGTGGGCAGTAGGGTCAGTCGTGGTACAACCTGTGGACGCATGCATCTAACGCCTTCCCCAACAGATGCGACGCACGTATTCGGAAGAAGTGGCATGTACCATATATGTCACGTACATTCGATTTCTGTCTCACGACAGCGCAACGATTCCTATACCCATGTCTCCTACTCTCGTATCACAGACAGTATGGGATGATGACATCGCGAGTCCCTACCCAACAATTATCCTGGCGAAGGGTCCTGCCATCTGTAAATGGGGGTGCCGCAGGGCAGGTGGGACGCAGGCGGGGACGTCCCCGTGGGGCCAAGAAGCGTTTGTTTGGCGTGCCGAACTGGGCGGGGCGGCGTCATGCGAACCCTGCCACTGGCGTCCTAAGTGGAGATCCCGAGGGGGCCACGAGACGTTTGGGGGGTGAGCCGGAATGGGCGGGGCGGCGCCATGCGAACCCTGGCACTGGCGACCTAAATGGAGATCCCCACGGGACCGCGAAACGTGTGAGCGGAGTGCCGAAATCGGCGGGGCGGCGCCGTGCGACCCCTGCAACTGGCATCCTCAGCGGAACTCCTTATGAGCCCACGGAACGTGCGCGTGAGGGGTGCGCCGAAACGGGTGAGGCGGCGCCACGTTCATCCTGCCATTGGGTCCTTCGGTGGAGCTCCCTATGTGGCCACGAAGCGCGTGAGGGGTGTGCCGAAATGGGCATGCGGAGGGCAGCGGCAGGGATGAGAGGAGGGATGAGGGGGCAGCGGGAGGAAGAAAGGAAGGAGTGGACGCGGGTGCTGTCTCTACAAAACGAAGATCCAACGACACAGGTTGAATGCGAACACAGAGACACGAGGTGCAACTTATGGGGTGCAGCCAATCACTTGCCGAACTTGAAATTGTCAACTCCACTGCTCGCGCAATCATCCCACCCACCCACCCGTAACTTGGTTTGCAAAACCCATGCGGGACCGAGCACAGATATCGCTCCGGGGTCGTCTTGGAGCCCTCGGGGGCGTCTCAAGAGCGCCCCAAGAAGGCCGGAGAAGCAAGACGGCCGACGACGACGACGACGACGACGGCGGCGACGACGACGCCGACGTCGACGACGACGAAGACGACGACGCCGACGCCGACGCCGACGACGAAGACGACGACGACGTCGCCAACGAAGACGACGACGAGGGAGGAGGGAGGACGACGACGGCGACAACGACAACAACGACGACAACGACGACAACGAGGAGGTAGGACGGCGACGACGCGAACGACGAAGAAGAATGAAGGACGGCGACGCCGAAGACGGCAACGACGAGGGAGGAGGAAAGACAACGAGACGACGGCGACGAAATAGGAGGGACGACGACGAGACGCTGACGACGGACGACGACGACGACGACGAGGGAGGAGGAGGAAGGACGACCACGGCGACAACGACGACGGAAACGACCACGACGCCAAAGAGGACGACGACGACGAACAAGAGGAAAGACACAGGACGACGTAGACGACGACGACAACGACGCGGGAGGAGGGAGGACGGCGACGACGACGACGACGACGCCGCAAGAGCGCGCGCGCACGCTTGTGTTGAAAATCCGTGTTGCGAAACCTCGGGGTTTTGTAGGTTTTTTGGACGCGCGATTTCGAAATCCTTCCGAAACCGATGGGTTTTGAAGGATTTCGGCGTACGCGCGCGACGACGCGCGCGTCTGCACTTCGTCCCATTTTTTTGCAGAGGATTCTCGCGACGGCACACGCGCAAGGGCGTTCGACAGATTTCGACATGCGCGCGCGACGCCCGTTTGGTAGCATGTTGTGAAAATCTTGAAAAACCAATGGTGTTCTTAAGATTTCGCAAGAGCTCGCGCGGAAGCTTTTTTAGCAAATCAGTGATACCAAACCCTGTGTTTTTGCATGTCTCTGGAAACTCGATTGCGAAATCCTTCCGGCACCGAAGGTTTTTGAAGAATTTCGGCATACGCGCGCGACGGCGCGCGCGCGTGCACTTCGTTATATTTGTTGCAAGGGATCCATGAAACAGTGTTATATTAGAACAACAAATGTCAACGCATAGAGCTTTTTTTACACGGGAAACTCAGGGGGGGATACCGGTTGGCCTGGGACATTGTGATTTCATATTTAGGATGGACATGTGGTCAGAATCGTAAATGATTTACATACCCGAAAGGGGGGCGATAACTCCGGGGGGGGTAGAGTCTATTCTCTTCTTAGAAAGGAGAACGTATGGGTTGCAATTGACTGCCCTGCACCGCGCTTGACCACTCCACTGCTCGCGCAAACATCCCACCCACCCACCCGCAACTTGGTTCGCAAAATCTTTTAACACCGTGACGGTGGGTACCAAATGGCACTTGCCAACGACAGCGACGCCGACGACGACAGCGACAACGACGACGACAACGCCGCCGACAACGACTACGACGACACCGACGACGTCTCCAACGACTTCGACGACGCCGACAACGACGACGACGACGACGACGACAACACCGACGACGACGCCGCCGACGACGACGACGATGACAACGACGACGACGATGACGACGCCGACGACGACGACAACGACGACGCCGACGACGACGACGACGTCAACGACGCCGACGCCGACGACGACGACGACGACGACGACGACGACGGCAACGACGACGACGCCGACAACGATGACGAAGACGACGACGACGCCCACGCCGACGACGACGACGAAGACGTCGACGACGACGCCAACGAAGACGACGACGAGGGAGGAGGGAGGACGACGACGGCGACAACGGCGACAACGACGACAACGACGAGGGAGGAGGGAAGGACGGCGACGACGCGAACGACGAAGAAGGAGGAAGGACGGCGACGCCGACGACGGCAACGACGAGGGAGGAGGGAAGACGACGACGACAACGACGACGACGACGACGGCGACGAAATAGGAGGGACGACGACGAGACGCCGACGACGGACGACGACGACGACGAGGGAGGAGGAGGAAGGACGACCACGGCCGCAACGACGACGGAAACGACCACGACGCCAAAGAGGACGACGACGACGAACACGAGGAAAGACAGAGGTTGACGTAGGCGACGACGACGACGACAACGACGCGGGAGGAGGGAGGACGGCGACGACGACGACGACGACGCAAGAGCACGCGCGCACGCTTTTGTTGAATGAGAATCCGTGTTGCGAAACCTTGGATTTTTTAGGTTCTTTGGATGCGCGATTTCGAAATCCTTCCGAAACCGATGGGTTTTGAAGGATTTCGGCGTACGCGCGCGACGACGCGCGCGTCTGCACTTCGTCCCATTTTTTTGCAGAGGATTCTCGCGACGGCACACGCGCAAGGGCGTTCGACAGATTTCGACATGCGCGCGCGCGACGCCCGTTTGGTAGCATGTTGTGAAAATCTTGAAAAACCAATGGTGTTCTTAAGATTTCGCAAGAGCTCGCGCGGAAGCTTTTTCAGCAAATCAGTGTTGCGAAACCATGTGTTTTTGAATGTTTATTGGGAACTCGATTGCGACATCCTTCCAGCACCGAAGGTTTTTGAAGGATTTCGGCATGCGCGCGCGACGACGCGCGCGTGTGCACTTCGTTTCATTGTTTGCAAGGGATTCGTGAAAAAGTGCTCTGTTAGAACAAAAAATGTCACCGCATAGTGTTTTGTTACAAGGGACCCTCAGGGGGGGGGGGGAAACCGGCCTGCCTGGGATGGTATGATTTCATATTTAGGATGGACGAATGTGCAGAATGTATATATATATATGAAACTATATTATCCCAAGGCAAAACGTTAAGTCCGGGGGGGGGGTAGAGTCTATTCTCTTTTTAGAAAGGAGGAGAATGAATTTCTGTTCGCAGTGACTTGCCCACTCCACTGCTCGCGCAAACATCCCACCCACCCACCCGCACCTTGGTTTGCAAAATCTCTTAAGACCGTGACGGTGGGTACCGAATGGCACTTGGCAACAACAGCGACGCCGACGACGACAGCGACAACGACGACGACGACGCCGACAACGACTAAAACGACACCAACGACGTCTCCAACGACTTCGACGACGCCGACAACGACAACAACGACGACGACGACGACACCGACGACGACGACGACGACACCGACGCAGACGACGACGACGATGACAACGACAACGACGATGACAACACCGACGACGACGACAACAACGACACCGACGACGACGACGACAACGACGACGCCGACGACGACGACGACGACGACGGCAGCGACGACGACGACGCCGACATCGACGACGACGAAGACGACGACGACACCGACGCCGACGATGAAGACGACGACGACGTCGCCAACGAAGACGACGACGAGGGAGGAGGGAGGACGACGACGGCGACAACGACGACAACGACGACAACGACGAGGGAGGAGGGAGGACGGAGACGACGCGAACGACGAAGAAGGAGGAAGGACGGCGACGCTGATGATGATAACGACGAGGGAGGAGGGAAGACGATGATGATGATAACGACGAAATCTTGTTTTTTGTAGGTTTTTTGGACACACGATTTTGAAATCCTTCCGAAACCGATGGGTTTTGAAGGACCTTGGCATACGCGCGCGACGACGCGCGCGTCTGCACTTCGTCTATTTTTTTGCAGAGGATTCTCGCGACGGCTCACGCGCAAGGGCGTTCGACAGATTTCGACATGCGCGCGCGCGAAGCCCGTTTGATAGCATTTTGTGAAAATCTTGAGAAACTTATGGTTTTCTTAAGATTTCACAAGGGCTCGCGCGTAAGCTTTTTTAGCAAATCAGTGTTGCAAAACCCTGTGCGTTTGTATTGTTTTTTGGGAACTCGATTGCGAAATCCTTCCATCGCCGAAGGTTTTTGAAGGATTTCGGCATACGCGCGCGACGGCGCGCGCGTGTGCACTTCGTCCAATTGTTTGCAAGGGATTCGCGAAAAAGTGCTATGTTAGAACAACAAATGTCACCGCATAGTGGTTTTTTACAATGGACCCTCAGGGGGGGGAACCCCGTTGGCTTGGGCTTTGTGATTTCATATTTAGGATGGATATGTGGTCAGAATCGTGAATGAGTTGCATACCCGAAAGGGGGAGTAATAACGCCGGGGGGGAAGTAAAGTCTATTCTGTTTTATAGAAAGGAGAATACATGGGGTGCGAAGTACGGGGCGCACCTTACGAAGCGCCCTGTATGGAGTTTGCCCTCCACGCGGTTCAACTTAAACGACACTCTGTCAGGGGTGCAACTGTCGGGGCGCAATAGCTGGGGTGACATCTACGCGACGGGACCCTATGGATGGCCCTTCGGGTGAGACTCCGTGGATGAGGCCCCATGGGCGCGACCTTCCAACGCGGGCTCGGCATGTAGCATGCTGGCCACTGGCCCTGCAAAGCGGGCGACACGGAGGCCCCCCGAAGCGGCAGGGGAGCCGCGCCAGCCTGCGCCACGCAAGGGATGGCGAACCCTCCCCAAGGATGTGCGCCCGCTCTCCTGAAGGACAACCCAAACCCGCAACGCCTCGCCAAAGCCGTACCCCGAGGGGTAGGTGGACGGAAAGAGCGAGCGTTGCCAGCAGCGCAACGGCAGCGCGCGATGGCGAGGGGAAGCGATGGCAAGGAGACTGCCGCAGCAAACTCAAGGCGAGGGGAAGCAACGCCATGTGCCCCAGCCCAGAAGCGACGAAGCTGCGCCGGGCATTATCACACGCCCCGCCGCAAGACGAGGAGAGTGGTGAATGCGGGAAGGAGTGTCACCCCGCATGTCCAAAGAACGCCAGGCCGCTAAGTGGAACTGGATGCCCCCGCCTCAGCCAGTGGGAGTCATCGGCAATGCGATCCGCTGGCCGAGTGGGGCCCGATGCATGCTCCATGTGCCTATACGCCCTAGCGTTCCCCTGAGTGAAGGTGGTGGTCTAGCAAATCAGCTTACGCATCTACTTCACCCTGAGCGGAGGCTCCAAGGCGCTGGGAGGCGCCCATTGCACCGACGGAAGGCGCACGTCGACGGGGTCGAGACTGGCTGCACGCAACAGATGTCGTACCCCCCTTTCCTTTGGAGGCTTGGAGTTAGGCGCCAATACCAAGAACAGCGGGATGCCTGCACTGGAAGAAGATGGCCCTAGGAGTTTGGTGCTGGTGGTAATCCTAGGAGTTAGGAAGCCCAGATATTACTTCCATCGCCGAGATCGGGAACATCCTTCCCCGGTGGAGGCCACCGGCGCGGCCAAGAGGGGGGGCGTCCAAGAGGGGGGGACGCAAATCCTGGCCGGCGGCATGTGCGCGGCCCACGGGGGGGATCCAGGGACGTAATGGAATAAGAAGAGGCGCCATGAAATCTGGGGAAATATCATGGCCCCCGACATGACATCCACCCCCCCTAGTCAACACCCCCTCTTGGCCGCCCCCGAACTAGTATGGATCATGGATCCGTGGACCTGGCGCGAGGGAGCGAGGGGAGAGGCTGCCCCCCGAAGGAAGCACGAAAACGGCCCCGCCTGCATCGGCGACGGCGCACGCCGGCTTTCGTATGGACCCAGAACCAAACGCTAATCCACCCGCCTCGTTGGGTCTGGGGGGAGGGGCGAATCGAAGCGTTCACCCTGCTCATAGGTTCGATAGTTTTGGGAGGGGGCCTTCTATATACCCAGCTAGAGACCTTCCCCCGATTTTCTGGGGGCGCCCCTCCGCCGCACGTTCGAAGGCACCCGTTCGCGCCAACTCGCAGGCCACGTGCCCACGTGTGACCTCGACGAGCTCGCTGAACATTCGCGCGCCTGCTGAGCGTGCCGGTTGCTCCAGCCTCCACCCATGCTTGCGCTCCTCGACGGAAACGACGCATCCGACATCTCGACCCTTTCTCTGGGGCGGGGCTTTCGCCCCGTATCCATGTTTGCTGGTCCTGGGGCCCAAGAAAGAGCCCCAGAGGCTGAACATCGAAGGGAAAACACACATATTGATACAAATGGGAACGGGACTGGTCTCCAATCCACTCGCCTCTATCCAAACGGCTGCGAGCAAAGAACCTAAACGATCGCTACTCCCTGGACTTCTCACGGAGTGCGTTCTGACTAGAATTTCGAGGCGCATTCAACCGTGGCGATGAGGGGCTCCAATGAGGCCCAAAGACGAAAACGAGGCAAGCGTAGGAGGATAGCAATACCAATGCGCAGCACCTTGCAATTGCGGAAAAGGGGGGGCGGGCGCGAGGCGGTCGCGGGCAGGTCGCGGGGTTGGTCGCGGGCCAGGACGACGACAACGCAACAACAACAACACGTCATGCAAAATCCGCCGCACGGAAAGCCGGTTTTGCCACGCACCGAGGGACAACGCATGATCGCTAGGCCCCCTCACGCGGTCATTCTCCTCCTCTGCGAGTTCATGAGTGCACTCCCTCGACGATGGGGAAAACAAAAGGTACTGATAACGCTACTCCTCGGACCTCTCCTGGGGCGCGTTCTGACCAGAATCTCGAGGCAAATCCAGCGGTGGTGACGAGGGCCACCCAAGAGGCCCCAAAAGGGGGAAAGCGAGGGAGAGGTAGCGCTATGGGTACACATTTCTCATGTCTTTGTAATATAAAAACTGCTAAGATGCTTTTCGTTTGTTATGTATACCACTCCCTCCTCTGAGATGAAGGGGCCGCGGCGGCCTGCGAGAGCAGGGCGTCCACGTCCCCTCTAACAACTATCGTCATGCATCTTGTCTGCCGGCAGCTCTCTACTGTGAGCGTATCCCATGCAGCCACGTACCACGTGAGCGTACCCCATGTAGCTTGCACAGCTTGTAACGGCGCCTGCACTGTCATTGTCCGGGCAAATTTCGGTCAATCCCTCCTGTCACTTGATGCAAACTTTTGGACACCCGAAATGGGTACCGAAAGAATGGGTACAATGCCCAACAACAAATGTTGTTCCAAATCAACAGCGGCCGCTGTTGGGCAGGCGGCCTTCTGTCTCGAATGGACACAGGCCGCGGCGGCGTGGACAGCGAGTCCTGTTCAAAATGAACAGGAACTGCTGTTGGGCATAGTACCCATTCTTTCGGTACCCATTTCGGGCGTCCAGAAAGCTGTCTGGGTACGTCACAGGGTACTTCATGCTTTGTCGATCAGGGGTGCCTCTTCCTCCTCTGAGGCGGAACGGCCGCGGCGGCCTGCGAGAGCAGGGCGTCCACGTCACCCGAGCGCAGCCGGGCCCGCCGCAGCTCGGGCGCGTCGTCCGCCGCGCCGGCCGCCGCGGCGCGGCGGGCCGCCTGCGGCGCGGGGGCGGCCCCGTGCAGCGAGCGGGGGGGACCGAGTGGGCGAGGCGAGGCCGGGTTTGAGTTGGCGTCCGTTCTCGGCGGCTGTCCAGCCTCGGGATGCCCTCCAGCAGCTGAGCCTCGCCGAGGGCGTTCCAGGGGTGCCCAGATCGTCCCGAACGGCCGCTGGAGAGACGAGTGATGGTCCAAAAACGAAGGGGATAGGCATGATACGAAACCAGGCCGAGGGTAACATCAGGTGAGGATAAAATCGAGAATCTCTGAGATCCAGCGGCTCTGGAGGATGTCTCGGGCGCCGCGGCCTTCTCAGAGCGTCCCGGGACGCTCTGAGAGCGTTCCAGAACGCTCTGGAACGGATTCAGCCTCGTCCTAGCCCCGCCCGAGTTGGTTCCCCAGTCACGGAGGAGGAAAAAGCGGCGAAAGAGGGAACCAAGGCGGAAGGAGAACACGTCAAAGCAGTTAAGAGCGACCTCCTGTGGAGGCGGGGGAGATCGAGAAACAAAAACGTCATGCACATAAACCTTTGGAGCCCCGCGCGAATTTCTTGGATGAGCGCTGGAGCCTCCTGGCGGCGCCTCCAGCGACGCCCCTGGCGCGCTCCACGCGCCAGGGAGAGGGCCCAGCGGAGCACACCAGGGGCGTCGCACGTTCATGCATGTGCAGCTCTTCCTCGAGACGAGCTCGTTCCCCAAACAACGCTTGCACTCGAAAGTTTTACTCTTCTTCGCTGTATTCGGGGATGGACAGACCTCCCTTTCGTAAAACGTGGTTTAGTGAAAACGACCTGAGGCCCAAACCTGGCGGGCGCAGGCCTGGAACATAAACGGCCCCGGCGCCCTCTCGAGAACCGACAACGGACAATTCACTAATCCACGTGTCACTGTTGGGGGTTCTGTCCACCCCCGATGTATGAGTGGCCAGGTAGGAGGGAGGAGGGAGGAGGGAGGTCCTCGTCCTCGTGCGTCTGCTCCTCCTCCTCCTCCTACGTCTTCTGTACCTCCTCGCTTTCTCGCGATCCTGATCCTGGTGGGCTTCTGCCTCCCCGTGCTCGTCTTCGCTCCCGCCCTTCTGCTCCCCCCCACCTCTTCCACCGGATCATGGTCCCGATCCCGCTCGCTCTCCTCATCCTGCCTGCAGTCGGCAGCACCCTCAGACGATGTTGGCGTTGGCTACGCAAGGTCGCTGCGCACGCTCGGAAATCCTATGGCATAAGCCCCGTGGCGGGCGCTTCCTGGCCATACCGCTCGGGCAACTGTGCACTACAAGATGCTACACCAGATGCTCGAGTCGGACGTGCGCCTCCAACAGAGGCGCATCGCACCAGCATCTCCTCATTCTTCCCGTGCAGTCCCGTCGGCTCCCGAGCCGGGATCGGCACTCTGGCCTCCGAGGGAGACCGCTGGCGATGGGGGGTCGGCCAGGTGGGGCGGGGGCGTTGCAGGCCCGCTCGCGCCCCAACGGGCGAGACCTCCCAGCTAGAATGCGGAGGGAAGATGGAAGGAGGAGGGAGGAGGGAAGAGGGAAGGAGGAGGGAGGAGGGAGGAGCCTAAGTCGCGGGCCCGTGCCGCCTCGTGGGCACACTCACGGGCGCCCCGCGCCTGGGCGGTGTACTCCGAGCGGCTGTCGCCACGTTTTGCGGGGCCGTGTGCCGCCTCGCGGGGCGCCCCATTGGGCGCCTCGAGGTGGTGCCGCGCCTCCTCCCGCGCCGCCCTGCGGGCGTCACGCATCGCTCACACCGCATGGCTTGCACGACGTGGCCTGCGCCATGCAGCCATCACTTCCAGTTCAGCGTTGTCGCCGACGACGACGACGACGTCTGACGCCGACGACGATAACGACGACGACGACGGCGACGACGATTTCGATGACGGTGGCGGCGGCGGTAGCGGTGGAGGCGGCGACCTCGACGACGACCGTCGACGACGACGACGTCGACGACGACGGTGGCGACGGCGACGACGACGCCTACGCGGCATAGCTTACACCGCACAGCTTGCGACCCCATGGCCCATTGGCCCACACCACGCATCTCACGACATGTACACCTTTTACCATGTAGCTCTCGCGGGATAGCTCACACCTCCACAGTGCAACAACGCACTGCGTGGGGTCCACGCTGGCGAACACATCCGAGCACAACGACATGCGAGTTGGGAGCCGCGCCACACACATCTGGGCTGGTTGGCGCCGCGCGGCCTCCATGCGCCAGGGGCGTCGATCGCCGAATCCAACGCACCCCCGATGTATGAGTGGCCGGGTAGGAGGGAGGAGGGAGGAGGGAGGAGGGAAGGAGGAGGGAGGAGGGAAGAGGGAAGGAGGAGGGAGGAGGGAGGAGCCTAAGTCGCGGGCCCGTGCCGCCTCGTGGGCACCTCGCGGGCGCCCCGCGCCTGGGCGGCGTACTCCGAAGCGGCTGTCGCCAACGTTTTGCGGGGCCGTGTGCCGCCGCGAGGGGCGCCCCGTTGGGCGCCCCCCGAGGTGGTGCCGCGCCTCCTCCCGTGCCGCCTCCGCGGGCGCCGCGCATCGCTCACACCGCACGGCTTGCACGACATGGCCTGCGCCATGCAGCTATTCACTTCCGGTTCAACGTTGTCGCCGACGACGACGACGACGTCTGACGCCGACGACGATGACGACGACGACGACGGCGACGGCGATTTCGATGACGGTGGCGGCGGCGGTAGCGGCGGAGGCGGCGACCTCGACGACGACCGTCGACGACGACGACGTCGACGACGACGGTGGCGACGGCGACGACGACGACGACGCCTACGCGGCATAGCTTACACCGCACAGCTTGCGACCCCATGGCCCATTGGCCCACGCCACGCATCTCACAACTTTATACACCTCTACCATGTAGCTCTCGCGGGATAGCTCACACCTCCACAGTGCAGCAACGCACTGCTTGGGGCCCACGCTGGCGAACATATCCGAGCACAACAACATTCGAGCTGGGAGCCGCGCAGCACACATCTGGGCTGGTTGGCGCCGCGCGGCCTCCATGCGCCAGGGGCGCCGAACGCCGAACCCAACGCACCACTAGACGGGGGTCAGAGACCCAAGCGGCGAACCAAGCCCCTGGGCGACGCGAAGCGGGCGAGAACGACACGGGCAAGCACGGAGCAGAGAGAGTGCGAAGGCACAGGGACCCCCGGACCAGCAGCAGGACGCGGACCGGAAAGACAAGAAGGCGGGGGGGGGGGCAGCAGAGTCAATATCAACGACACGCCGCCGTGGGATGCACATCGGGGTGCTGCTGCTGAGGGCATACAGGAAAAAATCGACAGAACAACACGCGGACGGGCTCCCAAGGGCAGCGTGCCGCTGGCACCGTTTCCCTCCCTCCCGGGGAGGGGGCTCCCCCGCCCTCGCGGCGAGGCCCCGATGGGGGAGGAGCGAGCAGGACCTAGAAGAGGGGACAGGACAGGGTCAGACACAGCAGATTTGCTGCGGGCAAGGAGGCACGATCGGCGCTCTCGGCGAAGCGCGAGGGCGGGTGAAGCGTTGGCCCGACGGCCGGGCCTGCGCGCCCCATTCTGAAAGCCTGGGCGGGGAGGGATGGTTCCTCCAGGGTGCACGCCCCCTTCTTGGCACTCGGAGAAGGTATCCTGTGTTCCATGGATCAGCCCGGAGTGGAACGCTGTGCGTTAAGGATCACGCCGCCTGGCGGTCCAGACAGGCTTATATACTCCACGCCACGTTCCTCATATATGATCCAAGGTTCCCCCCCCTTTGCCCCCACCCCAGCGCATCCAGGATTGAACCCACCCCTCCCGCTGGATGGGTGCGCTCGTGAGCCTCGCGAAGGCCTCGCGAGTGGGATCGTTCATCCCGCCTGTGGTCGTGGCCCTGTGGACGCGGCGCGGTGGAGGGTGCCCGTGTACCCCCCCGCCCTCCCGCTGTGGGTGTGGGGTGGTTCGTCGTCGTCGTCGTCGTCGCCGTCCGTCGTCCGTCCTCCTCGTCCTCGTCCTCGTCCTCCTCCTCCTCCTCGTCCTCCTCCTCCCCCTCCTCCTCCTCCTCGTTGTCGTCGTCGTCGTCGTCCTCGTCGTCGTCACCGTCGGCGGCGTCGGCGAGACCCCATCCTGGGAGACCAGCTTCTCATCCCAGCGCCCCTCAAACGGGGACTCCACTAACGGGCACTTTGGCCAGTGACCCAGCGAAGCCAACCCTTCCCGATGTGGGCAAAGCTGCAATGCAAGAGAAAGGCCCTAAAAGGGCAACTTTCGGCAAAAATTCAAAGTACCCGTTAGTAAAGTACCCGTTACGGTGCCGTTGATCATCCCGAGTCGTTTGCAGGGCCGGTTCTGGGGCCTGGCCCGCCAGGAGGCCGAGCACTGCCGCAGACCTCCCGTCGCGATTTAACTCGCGACGCGAGGGTGCCCTTGGCAGCCCCGCCGTTGCACGCAAGGCGGCCGCGCCC